TTGATGGTGCTGGGAATAAGATATTTGTTCTTAGTTCTATGTTTATTACAAGCATTTTTTGAATTTACTGGATTCATACATGGTCAATATAAGTTTTGCCATGTCCATGTCTTACAGTGTAGGCAATGTTGTGACTATTCCAACTGAATCATGCAGGTTCTAAACGAGGACTTCACTAAATGTCACATGAGTTCACATATGTCGTCATTGCTCAAAAGTATTGAGTTGTCTGATTCAAAATCACAACCTGCAAAAGTAAGTCCATCTGCTAGATATGCTTCTTAACTTATCACATTTGATTATTTTGTATCAGAATATGCCTTGTGCAGTAACCATTTTCCTGTGGTCTTTTTGTTATGCAATGGTTCTCAAGTTCTTGCATATTTTTACATAAGTTCAAGAATGAATGCTTAAGCTCCATAACTTTCAATGGTGTCATGAAGTTTTTGTTTTGCTCATAAAATGTTTGTCATGTTTGTATTCGCTGTTCGGGAAACTCAAGCATGTTTTAGTTTATGCTCCAGAAAGTGTATCCATTTGAAGTGAACTATTTTATTCTAAATTAGCTTACTTGAGCTTCTTGTCTGTAGGTAGTCTCCAACATACCATTCAATATAAGTACAGATATAATTAAACTACTTCTTCCAATGGGAGACATTTTTTCAGAAGTTGTTCTTTTACTCCAGGTAATATTGCTTTTTGAAGAACAAGCTCTGGATATGATTGGATCCTTGTTATTTGTGGTTAATATTTTTTATCTGTTTATTTTTAAAACCTATTTTTGTCATTCAATATAGGGAAAAAAAAAAACAACATTTCAAACTTTCAAGTTTCAATTATGTAATTGAAGGGGTAATTGCTGCATTTTTAGTCAGGCTTTATACAGTATTTCTGCAATCAGCTATGAGATTCTTTTGAAAATTTATAGATAATATCAAAGGCAAGATACCGTGTGCATACATGTATAAACTATGATAGACTTTCAGATTATTTTGTATTCTAGATTATTCGGCTGGAGCCGCACTATTTAAACCATGATATCATCAGTCATTTTCACAGCTACCATGAATTTGTGTTTAAACTATCAGGAGGAGACAGCTCTACGCTTAGTGGATTCATCTTCGGGAACATCTGAAAAACGCCCCATCAATGTATTTGTGAACTTTTATTCAGGTATCCTACTAGTTCTACTTCTTCCAAATTGAAACGTCGATGTTGTTTGATATGTGCTGTACATGTTTTATAGCCATCTTCTAAACTGATTATATAGATATTGTTCACAATTTTGTATTTTACAAAATTTATGAATGCATTAAGATCTCCATCTTCATTTGGTTGAAGACTATGAAATGATTGATTACATGATTCAAATTACTAAACCTTAAATACCTACGTAATATATTGTTTTGCTACATTATCTTACTGAAGTTGGAGAAAAATTTCACTGCTATTATTTTGTTTGATGGGTCATAATGATTTAAATATACAAAATTTTAAGCTTTGTTTGGTAACGTACAAATTTTTATGAAGTTATTTGTAAGATTTCTCTTCCATTTCCTTTATAGATCCTGAATTCAAATTTAAAGTTCCAAGGACAAACTTTTTTCCTCAGCCTAATGTAAGTAATTTCTCATTTATGAGATATCTTTTTTTCTTTTTCTGTTTATACTTTCAACCCCATCCATGATTTGATTCTTCTGGAAAATTTTGGTTTCTTAAAGAAAAGGCTATTAAATGGTTGAAGTGATATTTTCATTTGTTTACGATTTTATAGGTTGACGCAGCTGTTGTATCTTTCAAGCTGAAGCAAGCTGCAGACTATCCTGCAGTTTCCTCCATCAAGAGCTTCTTCTCAATGGTTATATTTCCCTCATGGCTTCGTTAACATTAACAAATTTTGCTCTTCATTCATATATATTTCTTCTTCATTCTTGTGCTCAACAAAATTCTTAGTTTCACAATACCAAGCTATATCATTTTCCTTGATCATTGCTATTGCATAAAATAGTCTACAATATAGAGCATGTTGCTATACTATAATGCTGTTTTCTCTCGTCTTCCTCGGCCATCTTGATCTAGTTATATCAAGAGAAAACATCCATAAAGGACTGCGTCCCATATTTAGCGGTGTTGTCCGCTAGAACATAGATGTGAGGAATGTTGAGGATTATTGGGGAGGAGTCCCACATTTGCTAATTTAGGGAATGATCATGGGTTTATAGGTAAGGAATACATCTTCATTGGTATGAAGCCTTTTGGGAAAATCAAAAGCAAAACCATGAGATCTTATACTCAAAGTGGACAATAATCATACCATTGTGGAGGTTGTGATTTCTAACATGGTATCAAAGTCATACCCTTAACTTAGTCATGTCAATAGAATCCTTAAATGTCGAACAAAAAAGTTGAGAGCCTCGAAGATGTAGTTAAAAGTGACTCAAGTATCGAACAAAGGGTGTACTTTGTTCGAGAACTCTGGAGAAAGAGTCCAGTCTCGATTAAGATTAAGGGGAGACTGTTCGAGGGCTCCATAGGTCTCGAGGGAAACTCTATAGTGTAGTTTGTTCGAGGAGAGCGATTGTTGAGGATTGTTGGGAGGGAGTCTCACGTTGGCTAGTTTAGGGAATGATCATGTGTTTATAAGTAAGGAATACATATCCATTGGTATGAGGCATTTTGGGGAAACCAAAAGCAAAACCATGGAGCTTATGCTCAAAGTGAACAGTATTATACCATTGAGGAGAGTTGTGATTCCTAACAAGGAAGAGGAAAATCTTCTTTTGGGCTTGCCTTAGGCGTCTTTGGACTCACGGAACCATCTTTCAAATTGAGAGAAAAACCGTTCTCGAAGTGGGCAAACATAGCGAGCTTCGGCTCCGGCTGACACCTATTGAACCACTTTAGAGTGTGCGCTTTAGTTTTCGTATTTCGCACTATAAAATCTTTTTAAGTAATGAACTGCACCAATTTGTTACCGCATCGATGTTTGTTTTTTAATGTATCCGCTACTATCCTTTAACAGGCTTTGTTTTGTTAATGGATATAGGTTAACTCAGCATTCAATGGCAAGCGTAAAATGTTACGAAAATCGCTTCAACACATTAGCACAGCCCTCGAGATAGAAAGAGCTTTGGAAGATTGTAGCCTTCCAGCAACAGTAAGGCATATCTCTGCTCTGCCAATCTTCTAGTTTCCTCAGAATCTATTAACTCTATTCTTTATATATGGTCTGTTTGCAGTCAAGACCAGAGGAGCTAAGCTTGGATGATTTTGTTAGGTTACATAATTTGATTGTGAAGCAGTAAAACCCGAGGCATTAACTGGAAGAGATACTCAAATTCAAGTTCCTTCAGGATGGCCTGTAAAGGAGGTTGGAAGGAGGAGCAGGGAAGGAAGAAACTGAAGGAAAAGTGGACTGGGAAGGAAAAGGAAGCTTCCACAAACAGCTTGACAAGAACCAATGCAAGCTAGGTAAGTGATTTATAGCTAACTTTGTAGTTGCTGTTCGTTCCATTTTAGAACGAATCGATGCCTTTTCATGCTGGTATGCTGCGATTCCAGTTATATTAATGATCAACGACGACCATTAGTAAAATTCTAAATTATATCTGTTCGTTTTGTTGGTCAAGTCCATTTATGGCCTCGTTTATCTTTGGCTCACGAGTTCATTGAGCAGTCATAGATTCAGATTGTTTTCCTTTAAAGGGGCGTTTGTTTTAAAGAAAAGAAGAGGGAAATCTTTATTGCACCCCTTCGTTTGGTTGGTCAAGTCCATTTATAGTCTCGCTTATCTTTGGCTCACGAGTTCATTGAGTAGTCATTCAAGGGTCTTGATGGTTCAGATTGTTTCCCTTTAAGGAGGCGTTTTGTTTGAAAGAAAAGAAAAGGGTAATCTTTATCGGGATTTAAACTTTATCAACTTTTTTTTTTCTTTTACAATTATTTTGGGATTTAATTTTTCTTTTCCTTTCAAATTTCAGTATGAATGGATTTTTTTTTTTTTTTTACTGGATCAATTTTTTAATTTTAGTTTGAGGAATAAATATGCACAAAAAATATGAAGTATTTTGAGTATGGAAACATATATCTATATTTTGTTTTAAAATTCTTAGAGCACAAAACATAGTTTTTTTTTTCTTTTTTTTTCTTTTGCAAAAATTGATGAAAATACTTGTATAACATTAATTTAGTAGTATTTGCCATAATTAATGAATAAGGGCAAAAAGGTAAAACTACATTTAAAATATAAAATAAAATAATTAAAAAGTGCTATAAAAACTGGTTTTTTTTTTGGAAGATATTATTTATGCCAGTCTCAAAATATTCTTAATTATTTCCAGAAATTATTTATTTATTTATTTTGTAATAAATACAGGTGTAAAAATTAGAAAAAACGTAGAACACATTATATTAAGAAGGAATAATAAATACGGTAGATATTATATTTTATTTTTCAAGAATCCATTAATTACCTTGGATTTTTTGGATAATGTTAAATTATAATTAAAATAATTAATTACAAAGATTTATGACATAAATCTCAACAAGGCACACATTGTCATGGTCATGCTCGTTCAAGACGTGTTGTTCATAATTGCATGGAAATGACACGCTAAGCTCATTTCATGTTATATTACTTTCTTAAGTTTATTTCTATTATATGGTTGTTAGGCTTACAAACTATTATAGATAGACCAAGTAGTCATCAAAAACCTCGAACATGACTAAGTATTTATAATTTCTCTTACCTACATGTTTTGAATAATTTTCCTTCTTCAAATTTTCTCTGAAAACGTGACTCGAGTCTGACCATACATCAATATGTCCACGAAAACACGACTGACTTGTTCACTAGATTAGAGCAAGAGCAAGAGCAACACAATCGTTAGTTCGATTGTGATATGCACCACACACGTGAATCAACATCGATCATGAATCTAATACAATAGGAGACAACTAAAAAAGCATATGACATGTCTGATTAAGGATGTCGAAAACTACAAAACAAAATCAAAATCACATGCCTTTTCAGCTAAACACGACACAGTTCATCAGCCCCCTTTCAAGATCTCACAAAATCTCAAATCCCCCACCATTTTTCTCCTCCTACATGGATTAAAATAAAACAAAAAACGAAGCATCCTCGTTAGCTTCATCTTCTTCACTCCTTTTGTCTTTTTCCCTCTGAATCTTTGATCCGCCATGGCTGAGCTCTGACACCCATCATCGCAGCTGCCTCCCACTTTCCTCTTTCAATCGATTTATATATAAATCCATCACTCCCACTCACTTCACTCACTTAAAATCAAATTCAATTCCATTTTCATTTCTTGATTTAGTAATTCCTCTGTTCTTGAAGCTGCTTCAATGGCGGCGGCGGCGGCGGCTCTGTCATTTTCCCCTTTTCATTTGGATGATGCTGCCTCGCCCAGAATGCTGAAGGATTTTCTTCAGGAAAGTAATGGAAATGGAGAATCGAAAACGGCGTCGTTTGTTAAGAGGATCTCGTTTCCGTCGCTGAAATTGCGAAGGATTCTTCCGAGAAGCCTTTCGCGGAGGCTGTCGGGGATGAGAGAGAGAGATGAGAGAGAAACCGGCGACGATTTCGTTGTTAAAGTGAAGGACATTATTCGGTGGAGATCGTTTAGGGATTTGGTCGACGAGACGGCGGAAATGGCGGTTTCGCCGCTTGATTTCGCTGATTCGCCGGGTCGTTATACGGCCGCCGCTACTACTACGACGACCACGACGGCAACTAATAGCAACAGTTCGAGTTGGTGCGAGAGCGATTTCACGGCGGAGGATTTGCCGTCGCCGTCGTGGAAAGGTTGCTCCGACGACGATGAAGCGGGGAAAGTATATTTCTCTTGTGTCGGTGAAGATTCGTCGGAAACGCCAGTAACAAACTCAGAAAACGACAAAAAGGTGAGCAATAATTGAGTTCTTCGCACTTATGATGAAAATGGTCTTTTTAACTTTCTTTGACTTTTCATGACCGTTGGATCTGTTTTATTTTGCAAGCAATTTGTGAACCGTGTGATTAGATCAAAATTTTTCTCACAAAACTAGATTCACCCGTAGAGTACCACACTGGAACCGAAATTAAATATTTAAAAATAGGGTATTTTATTTTTATAATAATAATAATAAATAAGGTATTTATTATTTGATAAAAAAAATTAGGTTCTAATAAGTCATAAATTTTAAAGCCCAACTTTCTCCAAATTTACAAATTAAAATATTTTATAATAAAATAAATTAGGTTTATTTTTTTTTTCTTATAATAAATAATAAAATAAAATAATATATTTTATTATTTATTATAATTAAAAAAATTCAAGTATTTAACAACATTTTAAATCATTTTACAGGTAAACTTATTATCTATTGACAACAAAGTCGAACAAAGCGTAAAAGAGCGACTATTTCAACATATCGATGAAACAATTTCATTATCACGAAGTTACAAGTTAATGGAGCTGTTTCAACAAGAACGTCCGTATTATCGAGAAAGTGAAGACGATGAAGAACGGGATAGAAGTTACAAGTTAATGGAGCTGTTTCAACAAGAACGTCCGTATTATCGAGAAAGTGAAGACGATGAAGATCGGGATAGAAACAATAGCATGGGAAAAGTTAAAGAAGACGGGAATGAGTTGTTTCGACGAGAATTTTCGTACCAACAAGAAAGTGAAAGCGACGTAGAACGAGATAATAATAATAATGGGACAATTGGCATGACGGGAGCTGAAGAAGATGAAAATGAATTCTCGTGTTATCAAGAAAGTGAACACGGTCGAGAACGAGATAAATCGAACCGAAATGATTTTGGATGGATTTTGTCACAAAAGGGAAATGAAAATGTTTGGAGAGAGATGGAGAGAGAAGGGAAATGGGGAGTGTTTGGTAACGAGGAGAGAGAAGAATTGGGATTAGAAATTGAAGAGGGGATTTTTGGATGTCTGGTTGATGAAATTATGCTTGATATTTTCCAATTATCACTATAATTATTTTTTTATTTTATTTTATAGAGTCAATAATTTTATTTATTTATTTATTTTATAGAATTCATTAAAGCGACTCTCTACGATGGTATGATATTGTCCACTCTGAGCATAAGCTCTCATGGCTTCCCAGCCTTATAACAATGGAGTTAGTATTTCTCACTTATAAACCTATGATCATTCCCTAAATTAGCCGATGTGGGACTTTCATCATCCAACAGCAGATACAATTATCGAGCTGAATTGAATAACATTAGCCGATGTGGAACTTTCATCATCCAACAGCAGATACAATTATCGACATCCAACAGCAGATACAATTATCGAGCTGAATTGAATAACACCGAAAAATAAACGTAGGTTAGAAATTGTAGTGGCCATAAACGAACAAACCTTATCATTTAGTACAAAGCATCGTCTAGAAGACAACTATTCGATGGGCACGGATTACAAGCAGATTACAACGATCGTTTCAACATGATATAACGATCGATTTCGATAGAACAATAGTATGTAACTATCCATATCAAGCAGAACACTTGGATATTATTATTTGGGTTCGATTGATTCGGATTTTGAATCATTTTATACTAAATTTATTTTCAATAAAAGTAAAATATTAATTTTTATTAAAATTTAAATTTTTAAAAAATTGTTAGAGAATAAATAATCGAATAAATCATTATAAAATTAAAATAAACTACGTGTATAATATATAATAAAATTAAAATAAAAGTCAAAGGTAATTCATTAATGTTATAAAAGCCATGCTTGACGTTTTAGCAAAGCCTTTATTTAACTTCATGTGAAAGGTCTCTTTGCACTCACTCCAAAGCTTCTAACTCGATCGATCAACTTCGTATCTAATTCCCTTGAATTAATCAACTTTGTATCGTGAAATTTTAACTGTTGGATGATGAAAGTCCCACATCGGCTAATTTAGAAAATGATCATGGGTTTATAAGTGAGAAATACTAACTTCATTGGTGTGAGACCTTTTGGGAAGCCCAAAGCAAAGTCATGAGAGCTTATGCTCAAAGTGGACAATATCATACCATTGTGGAGAGTCGTGTTCGTCTAACATTAACGAGTCGTACGATTAGAAATTCGACCATCAAACAGGAACGAGAAAGAAAATTTAGGTTGCCGACTTCCACTGTGCCCTCAACTCGTATAAACCTGGTTCAGCTCAACTCAACCATTTTTAACCTAATCTCAACTCGTATAAATGTAGGTCACGTCCTTTCTCTTCCGAACAAATTTTACAATTTTTTTTTTTTTTTTTTTGTAAAAGTCTAATTAATATTTTGTTAATTAATGATATAAATATAATATAAAAGTTTGTGGGAGTTATCCTATGAGGTCAATGTACTAAGCTAAAGAGCTAAAATTTAAATATATTATTGCTTGTTATTAAAACAATTTCTCTATTTTCATACTTTATTTTATTTCTCCCATCCCTATGATACATTTATTTTAATGGTCTAACCGAAAATTAAGTAAAAAAAAAAAAAAATTATATATATATATATATATATATATATATATATTTATTTATTTATTTATTTATTTATCATTTTTATATATCAATTATTTTACGACATTTTGTCATTTATTCGTTTTTTACTAATTTTTACTGTTGAATTTTTTATATTTTATTTTATTTTTAGAAAGTTGTTTTAATAAGTGCTGTAGTTGACTTTTTTTAATTAATTATAATTTAAATTTTGTAATAAAGAAATTTAAATTCTTCGTTTTAGAATCCAACACCTAAATGTAGTGTCTATATTAATTTTTTAAACCTCCATTATCATATTATTATTATTATTATTATTTGAAATACATTTGAAGTTATTTTGTTATTTTATAATTTTATTTGAAAATACATTTTTTTTTAATATTTTGAAGCACATTTACAAAAATTAATTATTTTTTTTACAAAATTGATACAAAAATCTAAAATAAATATGCATAAGAAATAGAAAAAATAAAATTATGAAGACAGAAATAAATAATATAAAAACGAAATTTAGACCAACATTTATATTTATATTTATTTATTTATTTATGGAAATTCCCTTTTCATAGGTATTAATATTCATACATTTTTGGATAAATTAAACCGTGAAAATTTTAAATTACTTATCTACCCTTGTCTCTCCGTATGGAATTTCCTATTTTGAAGTAGACGCGGCATAAGAGTTTTTATCCAGTACGCGCAAATCCACAGCATCAAGTGCCAATGTAGCCGTCAGATTATGAATAGAGATGATCGAACCGTCCACATAACGCACGTTTTTTAAAATCAATCTTTAATGAATATGAAAATTATCTATTAAAATTAAAATTACATATAAATAATAATAAAATTCAAAATTTCTACCAATTTTGTTAATAAATTTAGAAGGGAAATTGAAAACTTTCCTTTTTTTTTTTTTCAATATAATTTTATTTTAAATTTTCATAAATTGGGTTGAATTTAAAAAAAAACGAAAAAAATCTAAGTTTCGAGTTACATTTTTTTAATCCGATCAACATAATCAACTCGAAAACAGGGTTACAATCTAATCCTAATCCAAACCCGCTCTACTTTTGAAATTATTATACAAAATTAAAAATATTTAATATTTGTAACTGATGTTAATGATAGGTTTCACCTCATATTTAAATTTTATGAAATTTTAGTTATTAATGTAATATGTACCGTGGATATGTACTATTTTTTAAAAAATTAAAAAATAACCCGACAACCCAATCCAATGTGAAAATAGTGTTAGGTTGGGTGGGATTGTGAACTCAATTTGAGTTGCTCGGGTCAATAACCTAACACCAGTCAAAAAATTTGAGTTGATCAGTGTAAACCCCTAATCATTAGAAGTACTAACAAATTGAACACACGACACACGACCTAAGTGTTACATGTCAAAGTCGAGATCAAGTCTAAAACTAAATTTTAACTTTCTCGACCAAAATTATAATCGTTAAAATATTAAAAAAAAAATACTTTTTAAACAACAAGAAATAATTAAATAATAATTAATTAATTAATTTGGGGGGGGGGGGGGGGGGGGGGGGGGTGCCAGCGCGGAGCTTAGAATGTAACGTGAATCAGCGTCCACTTTCACCGCCGGCTCCGCGCCAACGTTTCTACATAAACTCAATTCTTCACTCTTTTAAATGTCTCTCAACTGATTTTCTCTCTCTAACATGCAAGTTTCTTCGGTGTCCATTTCAATGGATTCGTGTTCTTGATTCCTTCAATTACAGTCTCAGATTCTTCTCCCCCCTTTTGATTTCTTCATCACTTTCGCCTTCGTTGATCGATTGGGGGAAGAAGAAGAAGAAGACGAGCAGGCGACTATGAAGAACGACGAACAAGTTCGGACTCTGTTTGGGATTTCCCTCACCGAGCGCCCTAAATGGCACCAGTTTCTCATTTGCTCTTCTGGATTTTTCTTTGGCTACTTAGTTAATGGCATTTGTGAGGTATTGTTTCTTTTTCGGATTTTCTCTTTTCTGTTTGGTTCCCGAGAAAATACTGGACTTATACGGCTATTCTATTGTACTGTTTGTTTGATTTTTTGTATTCGGTTTTAGTTTTTGTTTGATTTATTGAAGGAGATTTGTGATTCCGTTGCTGCATGTTACTCTGTTTGTTTCTCGAGAAAATGAAATTTGGGGAAAGAAAGAAAATCGCTCGGAAAATTTCTTATTCTTTGATTTTGGCATTCAACCTAAAGATCCTCATAATTCCATTTCCATATCAAATAATTGCTTGGTTGATCCGTTTATCTGTTCATATGCTACTGGTTTTCATTTTTGGGGATTGAAATTATTACATTCGATCTTTACAAATTTACCTGAACTGAATCTCGATTTCTGCCTAATGTTTAGGAATATGTATATAACAAGCTGCAATTCAGGTGAGCGTTTGACATAAAACTTCTTATGCCCTTGAAATTTCCATAACGCATTTCTTTAATTTCCCTCAATGTTGAATTTCTTTGCTGCAGTTATGGATGGTACTTCACATTTATTCAAGGATTTGTGTATCTTTTTCTGATTTATCTCCAAGGATTCACTGCCAAGCAAATGGTTAATCCTTGGAAGACTTATGTAAAGCTTTCTGCTGTGTTGATGGGTTCCCATGGCCTTACCAAAGGATCTTTGGCTTTTCTTAACTATCCTGCTCAGCTTATGTTCAAATCTACTAAGGTAAAATTGACTTGTTCTTGTGTAGATATGCTTTCAAATCTTGTTTGTTTGGGAACACATATGAAAAATCAGCTGGTCTTTGTGAGTTTATGTCTCGAATGTTGATTGATAATCTCGTTGAAAAATGATATGTTGTCTCAAATGTTTATTGATAATTTCGTCGAGAAATGATCTGTCGTCTCGAATGTTGATCACTAATCTCGTCGAGAAACAATCTGTAGTCTCGAATGTTGATTGATGACTAGAGAATTGACCTGTTGTCTCGAATGTCGATCAACAATCTCATCGAGAAACAAAATGTCATCTCGAATGTCGATCGATAATCTCATTGAGAAATGATCTACTGTCTCGAATGTCAATTGATAATTTCGTCAAGAAATGATCTATTGTCTCGAATGTCAATTGACAATCTCTAGAAAAATGATTTGTTGTCTCGAATGTGGATCGACAATCTCATTGAAAAAGGATCTGTTGTTTCGAATGTCGATTGATAATCTCGTTGATAAATGATTTGATAGCTTGTTGTGATTGAATCTTATGGGGATCAGTATAGTATCCATTCAATGAATTGAACAAATTAAAGGATGCAATTTTTTTCCACCCACAAGTTTGATTTTTAAAATTTTGAATAGTTACCTTGAGTTGAATTATTATATATATATATATATATATATTGCTTTTCCTTCATGTGTGTACATTGGTCTGTATTGTTTGCTAGAAAGATAATTTAATTCATTGTATTTATGTCTTTTTTTTCAAATTTTTTCTTAATAATTTTAAATTTTTTGTTTCTTCTAAAAATTTCGATT